ATCTTTGGAGTTGTGCCTGTACACTTTGCTTTATTTGGATCAGCTAATTTAATTCAGAAATATGGAAAGCCAGGCTTTTTATTTCTGAGTTGCCAACAAGGTTACAAAGTAAAAAATGCATTACAAAATCAAATTGTAGATTGCATATAGCAGTAGGGTTGTTCTTAACCGTTTCTGTATCAGTCTTATTGAATTTGGTATACTCTTACTGAAGTGCTCTGACAGGCTGTTTTGTTTTTAATCAGATCCTCCCTCTTGAGATTGTTATATGCATTTAGTATTCTTTTCTTTCAGTTTTCATGTAAAATACCATAAAAATACATACTCTGCCTGAGTTGTGTTCCATCTGTAATGGTTATTACATTCCACATATGGGGAAGATGAAGTGACATGCTCTCAGTACACATGACAGAATGGTGTCAGGGTACTTCATCCAAATTATCCTCTCACCTGATTTTTTTGCTGCTTTAACATCTTCACTAGATAGGCTTCCTTCTTTCTTTTTGTAACTTAAAGTGTCACTTGCATCTGAAGAAAAGCTGAAATAGTATGTTTTGTGTGTAATCTGTTGTATTTGTTTCCTGTGCACTGCAGGCTTTCCCCCTATGATATCTCAAACTTTGTTTTTGAAGCTAAGTTACAACCATAAGCCATGGGACTTTGCAGCATTACTTTAAAAAAATCTATGTAGTACCCGGATTATTTTCAATTTAGTCATCTTCTATTTGGTTGAAAGAAATTGTGACCACCTTAAGGAAGAAAAAAAAGTGGTTCTTTTTGAGATTAGGAGCTAGCCTAGTTTGAGTGGTTTGGGTTTTTGTTTTTTTTCCACTTAAGAGATATCTGAAATGGTAAGAGAAAACAAATATCATGTTAGTCTCAAAAGAGGCTTCCTAGTAGTGCTGGAAAAACAGCCTAACATATTTGTCTGTCCCCACGTTGTATGAGCTTTGGGAATAATAAATGGCCTATGATTACTGATTACCAAGAAGATTCTAAACTATTTCTAAAATTTCTTTCTCAAGAGAAAAGACTGCTTCTATTTCTTTAATAATTGTGCAATCCAGTGGTATCAGAATTGCAGTAAATATGGATAGAAAAAAATCTGCAACTCTTGCAGTTAAGCAATAATTTCTTGCACTGTTACATATTAATTTTTAAAAATTCTTAAAGCATGGATGGGAAACAAGCTGGAAGATCATAAACCAAACAAACTACACACATGCAATTAAGTGTCTGAGCATGTCCTGTGGTAACCTGCTGCATAGACTGGAACACAGGTGTGAGGGCAGGAGTGACTGGTTTCTGCTTGCCTGCAGGTCATCATGCTGCTCTGCAAGGGAGGACCCAGGCAGTTTCCTGTGCTCAGATATATATTCTGTAATTTGTGGAGAGAGACCTGTTAAATGCCAGTTACACCTCCTTGGTCCAGATGCTATTGTTTCTCTCTCCTCTGTTCTTGTCTTGTAAACAAATCATGCCTATCAGTAGAACTTGTTCTTTTGGGTATTAAGTTTACGATGAATATCCTTGAAATTAATTTTGGTATACATTAGCACCAGTGTTGCACATGTGCAGCATTTAAATCAGCTCTAAAGTTTCAGATGTGCTGCTGATGGAGTTTTAATGCTATACTCTTCAAGTTAGAGAATTAAGCAGTTCTCGTAGACCCAGTAGATGAACTTTTATTTTCATAGTCTCTGCAGCAAAGCCGAGCCTGGAATATTGCTGCTATTCACCAGACATCATCTACTGGTCAGAGATAGAAATGAATCGAGATTTGTGCAGGAAAGTTTGATTTTTCCCTGACTGCAGACTGGAAGAAATGCACGTGTTGCAAGTGAAGAACTGTTTAGGACTTGTTTAGGTATTGGTTACTAGATGATGTTTTATATTCCATAGCTGCTAGTTCTGATCTGTAATGTTACTAAAGGAAATGGTGGGGAGTTTCTTAAAATCTTCATTGTGTCAGAACTTGGACCCTGTGCCATCTCTTGCTTGCTGACCTTATTAAGTGCTGGTGGATGGGAAAGTCCATGTAAGCTGGCAGCTTCCATGGCATATTTTGTAATTCATTGGCACAGATGGGTTGGACTCAATGATCTTTGTAGGGTTGGACTCAATGATCTTTGAGGTCTCTTCCAACCTGGTTGATTCTATGATTCTATGAATTACTGTGTGCTCTGAGTTACTGGATGACAGTGTATCCCTCTGTGGCATCTTTGCCCATTGTTCCGGAGATTGTCTGTTGTTTAATACCTTGCTTCAGTAGCCACTGCATAGATGAAGTGTCAAAATTATATGAATAAGAAAACAATTTTAATTTCATTTCTTCCCAGAAAAAGAATTAATGTATGGAAGAAAGGAAAGAATTCATGCAGGTACTTGAGAAATACATATGATAATGGATGTGAGGGCAGTCTGTGCAATGTGGAGGATGAATATGAAGGAACAAGCTCATAAACCCTTGTAAGCTGGAGGAGGTGCTCTGCAGAGCAGGTCACAGTTCCAAAAGATCCCTGCAGTTTCGTCAGCGCAATGGTGACTCACTACTACCTCATTTTTCTACCTTTTTTCTGATTGGCCTAGCAGCATCCAAGGAAGATGACAACCACTGTGAAAATGTAGCTATTGGCAAAGAGGCAGCAGTAATCCTCACAGCTGAAGTTTTATGATGTGAATGTTCAGTCTCAGAATTGAAGTGGCTGAGGTTTCTTGAGAATGTTGGTCTGCTCTGTGCTACAGGGAAGGCATTGGCCCTGACTGTATTTCTTGGATATGGTTATGATTTTCTCTGAACTGTGGCACAATGGCAGATTTCTTTCCTCCATTAATTTAATAGGAAGAAGATTTTGTCGCCTTTTGAGATAATAAAATGCAAACAGAATTAGGGTTTTATTAGTTATCTTAAATTAAACATGGAAGTTAGCTACTGTTTTCTTCTTATGGTTTATATTCAACAGTATTTGCCATAATTCTCCTTTATATGTTTGCACACTGAAAAATTTTCAACCTCAAATCCAAGGTGAGACCGTGACCCTTGGAAGGTAATGTAGCTGTGCCTGAAATAACTGTGCAGTTATGTCTGCATTGGCAATGATGCTATACAACTGGCTGACTCACCCATTTTGTAGATGGTCTGGACCTTTCAATTTTACAAAGGTTGTTAATGGAGTGGCTATTTTGTCTTCTGCAGTCTTGTGAAATACCTTCTCAACAGCATTGATGGAAAGTGTTATTTCTTAATGTAAAAGATTTTTCAAAGATTTTTTCTTCATTAGCCATACAAAAGTTTAAAAATCTGCCAAAACAGACAGAATACAGATGTCTGTTTCATTGTACTGGATTCTGCCTTTCCTTGCTTGTTGGTAAAGGAACTACAGTTTTTAGACTAAATAAAATTTGAGTGTTCTTGATATAAACCTTCTTGTCCATACTGTTTGACCAACCAAAATGGCAAAATCTTGCTTGCATAAAACTAGATTTAAATTGATTTGAGACATGAACCTTAAACTGCTTCTTAAGGTCAAATTAGCCATGACAGCAGTTAATGGAAAAGCTTGAAAGAAATACTTGAAAAACTCTTCAAGTCTTATTGATGTTACTGCTTAAGGTCTCACACTAGTGTGTGCTGGGTGGAAATCAGTCCTTGGCTTTTCTACTGAACTACAGCGATGCTTATTGATTTATTGATGGTGGTTTTTGAGAAGTGTACATTTGCTACTACTAAATGCTTGTGGCTTTTAAATTCACATGAAGTTCTGTATTTTCAGGTGGAAAAAATTCAGCGTTTTTAGGAGTATTACATCCACTCATATTAGACAACTGAGAAGTAGGCCTGTCTCTATGAATAATCTATTTTCTCAGGTGTTTGAGCTGTTTTGTAAACTTGTGGTTTCTCTGAGGTTTCTGAATGACGTAACTGGAAGTGATCAGTGTCTCATTAATTTTCCTGTGTTGTCTTGCAAAGACACGGATATCCAAGGTCCTCCTGCTCATTTTCTCTGCAGAGGCCATACCTTTGGCTTTTGCTTTGCCTTGGTGTTGGGCTGTGCATTATTCTGGTCTCGGATGTTTTGTGATCACAGATTAATTTCTGTCTACTGTCATTCCCTGTTAAAATGAAATCATGTTGCTAGTGGCTGTTCCTGTAATTGACATAAACCACATAAAAATTGACATTATGGAAAGGAAGGTGTTTTGTTTCTGTATAGAAATACCGTCTCACATAAAAATGTGCATATGTGGTTCTTGTGGTGTGTTACAGGTTGCCATATGCCAGTTAGTAAAGGGTGTATACATGAAGTTCGGAGTGGTTGAAGGGAACCTGTTGCCCCTTTTCCCTCTATAGCCACCTAATATGTACAATATGGGGCTTTTCTCATCTTTGGAGTAGTAATAATTAGATAAATCAAGCTAAAGCTTAAATTTTGCAGTGTGGTTTTAGGTCTTTGTACCTGGTGAGAGTTTTTGTCAAGTGGACACATAGGCTTCCCCCACTTACACCCTCACTCTTTGCTTCAGCTTACTGTATAAAACTACAAATATATCTTGGGTCACTCGAAATGTCTGTGAGAAACTGAGAGAAAGAGAAATTTGATTGAATAATTTGTTCTAGTAAAGTGCAGAAAGGCCCTGTTGAAGGATCAAAAACGTGTTGTCCCAGGCACTGTAAGATGATTTTTACCTATAGTTCTAGGTGCGGTCTGTCAGAATTAATTTGACACAGGTGTCATTATACCTGTTTGTATTTAGGGTACATCTTCTTTTATTACTTTTCCATAGTATCAGAAATAGAATTAAGTAAAACACAGATAAATAAGACAGCCATTTCTAGAATTTCAGGATTCTTTCTGTAGAACTTGCTTAGTATCTGCCATGAGCAAAGTTATAGTGCAGTAATGGGAAAAGGAAAATGACCACCAGCAATCCTTTTTGACTGTGTTTTTTTGTTGCCTAAACTGTATTCCTGTGACATGTCTTTTTTTTGCTTAAAGCAGGCAAATCAACAAGCTGGGAAGATGGTGGCTGGGGAGCCTGGGATGAAGCAGAGTTACAAGAACCTGTAAGTTCATATGAACGAGTTTTCATTGCAAACTTGTGGTGTTTTGGCTTTTTTTCACCTCTGTAGTTGTCACTCAGACAAGAAGGATCTTGGCCTGTGTTTTAAATGTGACTGCTTCTTTGTCCCTTGCTCCTCTAATTGTTTGTAAATATAGGTTGGATGTTACTTGTTGTGACAGCTGTTCATACTCTTATATTTTGTAGGCTTTTTTTCTCACTAGAGTATGCACACATCTTTGTGCTGCTGCAGCTGGGGGCATCTTTTTTGTCCTATAGCTAGTCAGAAAGAGTACAGCATGAGTGAAATTATGATAATCTGTCATGAATTAATATGAATCAGAATTACCTAAATCATGAATCACTGGCACAGACATTTTCCTAATGATCACAGAGTACTCCTTTTATGTTCTGATGTGTGGACAGTGTGACAAGAGGGATGAAACCACATATGGAGGATGGAACACCATAGTTGCTCCTCTATAAAGAGAGGAAAACATCCTTTTGCCCAACTAGTTCAACTAAGAGTAGCATGGTTAGTCTGTTAATTGTTTGTAAGGCTGAGACATGTAGCTACCAGCTGACTTGCATGAGGTGTTAGGGAAGCTGTTTGTGTAGAAATCCTTTGCTCCTGAATGAATCATCTCAACAGAATTGCTTGATTAATTCCTTCTAAGAGCTCATGAGATAGAATGAGGAATCCAGACCTCACCTTGCTAACAAAACTCTTCTATCTGCTGTCTTTATCTCAGTGTGCAGGAAGTATGCCTGAGGAGTCAGGCAGTATCCTTGTGACTACTTATTT